TATGTATAATATATATATTATAATATTGTATATGTATAATATATATATTAAAACTCTGGCGGAAGCGATTTTAATACTTTCTGTGCTTATCTGCTCTTAGGGAAGATTCTGGGAGTCGGAAGGTTACAGCATCTTACGGATGCCGAAAGCCTGGATTTCCTGATGGCTTAGAGCTACCATCATCCTCCTGCCTTAAAGACGATTACATCTGTACATCCTTGTGTTATGCAGAAAAAAAGAAGAAAAAAAAGGGACTTTGTTTGCATAAATTTATTACCATCATAATATTTGAACAAACATTTTTTTGCCTGCTTGACAGTTCCTCCAAAATGTCCTGTTTATATCTGTACTACAATACAATTAGAAGAACAATAGCATCAACAGATGCCACATTGAACAGAGCTTTGGCCACATGGCGATGTTTATACACAAATTCTTCTCTGGAACTTTGTGCAGAGTTGTACCTTTCTCACACAAAAACAATGGTTGCATAAGATGAAAAAGTTGTACAAAAGTTATGCATTATCCTTAGTGGTTTACATTTATTATAAATGTACCATTTGATTGCAGTACAAAGACTCCTTCAAAAAAAATCCCTTTGGGAACAACAATGTTACTAATACAAACAAATTAAAGACATAATTGTGAATCTACTCTATCAGAGGGCAAAAGACTGGACAAGCTGGCAGTAAACGTTTTGACTTGAGTCCCTTCACTGATCCGTAATAAATCTGCAATAACATGCATCAATATTATTTAAACATTCACTTGATAAGACAAGAACCTCTACTGCCCTCCGAGCAAACGCATCCGAACAAGGTAAGGGATGAAAACAAATGTCTGCAAGGCAGGAACATGAGTCACAGCACTGGGAGAATCAGTGCTCAACAGTTTCAATGTAGTACCATGATGAGCGAGGGCGACCCGGCCCCGGGTTTCCTCTCGGGATAAAGAATCCCTTTCTAGATGAGTGTTCTCCCTCTTCGTGTCTTTCCTCAAGACTTCCAAGGGGATAAAAAACAATTAGCTGGTTGGCGTCGGCCACCGTGTCAGATTATAATTTAGTATAGTGTTATTTACTCGACAACCACATTGAGAATGGCTCAAATCAGATGCGAGGGAGGTTGGAAAGTGGTTAAATGTGAACATGATAAACAACAAATCACCTTAAAGGGAATCATTGCGAATCGAAGAGAAGTGACAAATTATTGACTTCTCTCTGTGTGCGACCATGTGAGGACTGCTGTTACTTGCTTTCGTAGTAAAATTTGGCGAGGGAACTGTTCATGCACTGGACCGTGACAATTTCCCAAAAGCATCCTCTACATACCTAATAGATTATATACACTGTACTCTCATTTAGACCAAGATAAGAATTGTGTCAGTCTTATATATATCCTTAGTACTGCAAAGAAAGAAAACAAAATTACAAAGAGGCACTTAGTTGCACTTGATACAAAGTGCTCTAAACTTTGGAAGATTCATCGGTTTGGAGGCTAAATCCTCAGATAAATCTTAAGAATATCACGCAAAATAACATTTGAGATATCCGAAGTTAATGAACCGTTTGAAAAGGATGTTTTCCTTTTCCAAAACACACGACCGAACATAATACAGGAGTCCAGAACAAACGCAAGCTTTGATGATATACACTGCTGCTGCATGCATAATCCCGTTACTTCATTAAACTCTGCTTAACCAGGTTTCCTGGATATTAGATTGCACGACTGATACCAGAAAATTCCAGATTTCTATTTGTTTTCATCTTAAATCTCACAGTCCTTCTGATGACTTTGGTTTATTCATTTTTTTTTTTATCTCTTGAAGATATTCTCATCAGAGACCAATTTGGCTGTGAATATACTGGTTCTTTGTGTGTTGCACCTCCCTACTGGAGAGTAAGGTCAGACCAAAAATATTTGTGTTCTTAGCGAAATATCTCCCTGTTGAAAAACTAGCTATGTACATTGGCACTTTTCGCTACAGGAAGGCATGGCCATTGCTCAGTTAGATCCTTGCTTGCTCTAAATGGAGCGGCCAGTTAATAGGAAGACAAAAAAGGGCGCACAGTCCTATCAGAGCAACTCGAGGTCTGGATACAAGGAGTACTACTTTGTGAGATTTTCGGCACACAGAAGGGGCCACGGGGAGGTCAACACTGACAAATAACAGATGAGACAAAGGAGCATGTACTATAAACAAACAGGGAAGGAGAACCATAGAAAAATGCCTGTTGACACAATCAGAGAGAGGCCTTTAAAGCTTTGCCTAACTGCCTCACGTCTCTGCTACTGTCTCATGGCACAGCCACATTACGGCTCCACAGATTAAAAGGCAGGGAAAAAAGTAAAATATACTAATAATCTAATTACAAAAATCATAGAAACTCATTCATGAATGTATAAAAAAATACAAATGTAAACTGATTACCGTTACACATCCCACCCATTCCCCTAAAATGGTAATAAAAAATAAAAATAAAATCATAATGCATAGTGAGTACAAAATATTCGATTTTTTTTTTTTTGTCTAGTAAACACATACAAACAGACTACGGTTGGACACAAACACTGACCTCGGAGGAATGTCCACCAATCAAAACACTTCAGGTAGCCTAAGGTCAAAGGCCACATGGATACTCTCCTTTGGTATATCTTAAAGTTGATTAAGTCACCACTTTGACGCGCTGACACATTTTGCACTTCATTTGGTGGCGCCCTAAACTCACTGGTAAGTGCTTACATTTGGTTTGGTACAAAATGCATCTGTGCTTTTAGTCAATATATATATATATATAAAAAAAAAAAAAGCATAGTTATTCTAATCTAATGAATTAGGCTGTCACAGGCAAAAGTCTAGTAATATTAAAGTGCATGTCTGATACAACAGCATAATACAAATGCAGGTCGTATCAATGTGTAAAATGATTGTATTAATCATTCTGCCTGTTCCCTTGAATGAAAATTGGACAGAAATACTGGACAGTACCCTTCATCAGAACCATAACAACAAACCTTCATATATAAATGCTCCAGATAGACTCAATGGCTCTATGAGGAGTGAACACTGAACCTCATGTTTCGGAGAAATCCCTTCTTTCTTGTTGGCACTTCAGGTAAAACAATGGCTTTTTTAATATATATACTATATGGCAACAACAACATTTGAACAGTCTTCATTCAGCTTAAACCAGGGCTGCTGAGTCACAGAATGACACTGGAGGCTGGTCTCCATCATGGACGGTTCTAGGATGGCCCGGAGGTCTGGAGGCACCTACCATCGCCCACTTACGCTGGCTATGTCTGCGTGAAACTGACGGGAGAGGCGGCCGCTAGCTCCCCCTTCCAGGAAAGAGGACCTGATGGGTGGCTCAAATAGTTTCCTCTGGTTCTTGTTTAGTTCTGTGTTGAAACAAAAAGCACCACAGAACATCAACAGAAGCAAAGGTGACTCAACTAATTCTAGTGTTGCTTTTGGGAGGCGTAGTAAATCTCAGTAAAGAAATGCAGACAACAAAAGAGAAAGTGGACACCACAGGCAAAAACATTGTTTTCCATGCGCTGCTCATTTGTAGATTTTGGGTTATTTTGCTTCCATAACATGTTGTCTGTCAGACTAGTGAATAAAAAACATACAAAATACACATTTAACTGTTTATTTAACTACTTTGTCAATTTGGGTCTGCAGATTTATCCTAAATTCATCAAAAGTTAGCATTAGATAATGCCTAATTTGCATATTTAAACATATTTCAGAAAACCCGTAATACAAAAAATAATTGTTATAATCTAAGTAATCAACTTGGCAAGTGTCATGGTGATATCTATAAAATGTTCTACTCTATTTACCTGTTAAGTCAAAATAAGAGTAAAATGTATGGAATTTACAGTACATTTCTTTAAAGGACGTTTCCTCAAAATTAGTTTTTCTCAGACTGAGCCAGAAATATCCACTTCAGTAGCACTAATGTACACCAAACTTTCAATACAAATACAAAAAGCAATTGTCTTGATGTAATTAATAAACTGGGGATCTTTCATGGTGATATTTATAAGTTAAATCTTCTACTCTATGCACGTTGGGTGTCTCCCCATAATGTTTCTATTTAGCCTCCATTGAGCAAATTGGATTCAGATAACTACAGGTTTGCTCAGATCAACAAAAGCCCTCTTTGTACCCATCTGGGTTTTTACACAGCAGCTTGGACAAAATGCTTTCATAAAAATGTCACGTCATGGCGTCTCTGATTTATTCATATGATAACCACGTTCTGTCGCTGCCAGCATAAACCTTCGGTTTGATTACTGGAGACAGGCAGCTCGCTCCAGCAGCTCTTTTTACTGGCAGACCGGCAGGAAGTCTGAACCTGGATTACCTAGCCTCACATTCTATCTCTTTATAATGAGAAGCAAAAATACAGAAAGAAAGACAGAGAGACAGACAGAGACGAGCATGTTCCTGGTTTGGAGCCCTAGAGTCCGTCAGTGGAGATGAAAGTTGACCTTCGCTTGGCTGAGGCGTCGGGCAATAAAACCAATTCCGGCCTTGGATCGCTCCGCTTTCTTAAAAATCAGCACTGGCCTCGCCATTTCCCCTTGTTGCTCTTACCGTCAACCCCGTCTCTGGTCTGAGGTTTCTGAACTTTCACTGAATATCCATGACAGGAAGCTCATGATCCCAACATGAGCGTGATTAACATATGCAGCCTAACAGCTCCAGCTATTACAATATCCCAAAAATGACCATCGGTAATGAAGTGCGACATTCACATTACATCCAGTGCAAAAAACATGACAGATGCTACATCAGCATCAGGGAGGCAGCTGGAGCAACTGGAGAAAAACCAACACAGTCATATGAGAAGAATGTGCCTTAATCCCATTTACTCCTGCCGGTGCATATTACTGGAACATGTTTTCATGTTCATGTTCAAGAAAGAATTAGTTGCAACTTCACTCTCTTGTACTTCTCTACTACTCTGCCAATAATAAGGGCCACCTATAGCTTTCAAAGCCAGTGGTTGGCAGTGTTGATGACCTCTTGTCAGTTGGAGTTCACTCTTTGCCCTCTGCACAGCTGGGCTCCACTCAGGCTTGTGGCAGCAACAGACAAAAGAGGAAACATTAATGAAACACATAAGCCAATTTGTGTGAACTGCCTTCAGCGGGAGCTGTCAGGACGAGGCTCCAGCTGGTATCAGGGATTATCAGCACAGCAAAGAACCAACTTGAGACTGAGGTGGTCGTTTGCAGGGATATCTTTACTGTAGCTTCTCTATGGTTATTGTTTCGTCTTATCGGTCAATGTCAGTTTTGCCAGACAGTTGATTGCAGAGAAAGACCGGGACGAGGAAGGACATGAAAGACAAAACGTGAAAAACACATGCTCTTCTTCATTTGTACCTGAGATGGCAAGCAGCATTTTCCTGCGCGCTCCAAAGGTGGTGATGCCCAGTTCCTTCAGGTCCTGGTCCGTTAGAGTCAGGAATGTCTGGAGGTCAATCTGGAAGCAGCAACAAGTCCATTTAACGCCACTATTACCACAATTCAGCAACTTCTACAAGTGTTAATATTGTCCCCCATTCGGCCTTCCAAACACTGGTTAAAATCATAACTAGGAGAAGAGTGGTCACAGTGTGCGCTACCTCTTGTTGTTGGAAGACGTCCGTGTACTTCCCTAAGCCCAGCGTGCTGAACAGCTCAGGCAGGTCTGAGCCTTTCAGAGACGAGTTCAGACTGCAGCCGTTGCTGCCGGTTATCGAGGAGATGCAGTCCATGTAGTTGCTGCTGCTGAGGTAATGCTCTGCAGCTGTCCATCATAGGGTTGAAAAAAACAAACAAACAAACACAATGATAATTTTGAAGAAAGCAAAAAAGCAGCAATAATTCATTCACATTTCAGCTATCACAGACGTTACGTCACAGAAAGAGATGAAGAATATTTAAAATAAAGTCATCACACCATTTTTAATTAGTCAACAAATGTAGACAAAGTCAGAAAACAATGTGCTACAAATTGAGTTTGATGAGACTAATACAGCTCCTGTTTAGGAGGTTGGTTTAAGAGGCAGACACAGGTAAAGTCAGCTAAAGTGCCATCTCTGAACTGTAAAAAAATACATATATTTCACCATCAACCCCAAAAAAGTAATTACATATTGTGTTACTCTTTGCAGAGGAGCATCTCTCTAACAAGTTGTCCTTGCATAGTTTGCCAATGCAATGCTTTAAATGTATCAGTGCTCGGTTTGTCCTCGTTTGACAAAAACATGCCTAACTGACCAGATTTGTTCTGCTTCCTCTTTGGGCTGCCGACAACGGAGGGGAACTCGGCGTGAATCGGCAGGCCGTTACCGATGCCGTTCCTGTCTCGCCAGTTGTCAGAGTCACTGCCGTTGCCGATGACTTCTCTGCTGTTGGATCGAGACAGGGACAGCGGGGAGTCCTGAGACAGAAAGCAAAGAAACAAAGACAATCCAAACATTTAACAAACAGTTCGGACACAGCATCTGGATATAAGGAACAGAAACATCTACCTACAATGTACATGGTGAGACAAAAAAAATCTTCTATAATAAACACGTAAAGACAGTAAAGTTAATTATCCAAGACGACAACAATGGCCACTGTATGTTGGACCTCGTAGGTGGTGCTCATGCTGGGCTTGTATGAAACGTGATTGGCTCTCCGCAGCTCCTTGATGGTCTCAGCTGGCATGGACTTTGAGAAGCCCAGACCACTCCAGGTGTTGGTAGGAGTCCGCACCTCAGTCACCACGGGCTTCTTTAACATAGCTGTGTGAATACAGACGTACAGTGATACACTTTTACAGAGATAAACGCAAAATTATAATTCTTGTAAACATCTAAAATCTTGTCTGTGTATTTATTTTATCTGTTAAATGTTGTCCATGCTCCCATTAAACAGATTTAAAGTTTGATGTTTTTCTCACTGGTTGTAAAACATCTACTTGTTTAATTAAGCACCTAAGGAGCATAAAAATTGAATTTTACAGTATTTTTTATTATCACACATATTTCACATTGTTGGTATCGTTGCAAGCCTTGTATTCTTAACTACATTTTAAGATGGAGTTTTGTGCGTTTGAACAATTATGGATCCAAAAAAGAATCAATGTAGTTTAAGATTATGAATTTCCATCCACAGGGATACACATTTGCAAGGACGACGTTTTTCAGGGAACACATAACTATTGTGACCTTTAGATTATGTGGCAGTCTGTATTCAAGCAAGGCACTAATGACATCAAATGATTTGATCAGACAAAAATAACAACTTACCTTTGGTTGCCAACAGCTTCTTCTGTTCATAGTCAAATGCCTGAAAAGACAGAAGACCGTTTTATTCCTTTATAATTTAAGAATACCCCCAAAACTGTGTATTTTTTTCTGTGTGGGTGTGTGTGTACCTGTATGTTGGCGAAGGAGCTTTGTGGTACCAGTCTGATTCGCTCCCTCTCGTTCTGCTGCGCTGCCCTCTCAGCCGCCCGCTCGCTGCCGGGCGCCCTCTTATCGGCCACGGGGCTGTCTGACGAGCTGGACTCAGCGTCCGAGAGAAGACAGTCAGAGCTGTTGGGATTACACAGAAATGTCACTATCATGAGTGGAAAGAAATTCTAGTCCTTAATCTCATCGCCTCCTCACATTATCACGAAGGCTGTTCACGTTCCCAGCTCATACTCCTTTTCATTATTAAGATACAGTTGCTTATTCTAATATCCATGCTGTCCAGAGTAAGTGTGTGTAACACAGTCAATATGGGACAAAATAACCATCTCCTTCACTTTGTGTGTTAAAAATCTATTTTTGTCAGGCTTTTAAAAATAAAATATGTTTGCTATGACATACTAAACAGTAGCAACACGAGCTGTAGATTCAGACATACTGTAGATGGGAGTTCTTGGTGCCCTGCAGTAGCTCCAAAGCCTGTCGCTTCCCTGATGACGTCTTACATGAAGCCAGCATCTGTTTCAGCTCACTTCCATTGGCTGAGTGCGAGGGGCTCCTGGGCATGCCCACTTCCACAAACGTGTCAGAACCTGAAGGAACCATATAAAAAACATAAATTTGATTATCTTTTTTAATTTACTTTCTAGTTAAATCGGTCCATATGTGGAAACTCAGAGTTTACAGCAGTCCTCTGTCTTCTATATAGAAAATGCACAATATCATGACAACCACTGCTGCAACACTTCATGTTTCATGTCATTTTTCAATGTATGTCATGCAGTGCCTGGTCACTCAGTGTAAAATAAGTGTAACTTGGTGGACATATGTATGCATGTGTTTAAGTGTGACAAGTCTCAGTTGGATCCTGGATTAATTAAAAACACAGCAGCTGTAATTACAGTGGCTTTCCCTCCAGCTACTCTACTTTCAGCTTGACAGGAACCAGCTCTGTGTAACAGGATGTGTGTGTGTGAGTTTATGCTGAATGCACATGGTGTGCTGTATAGCGTAAAAATAATATGATGTCAGTCAATCTAATGAATCTCTCTGGGGTTTAATGTTTGAACAATCCCCCTGCACACTCTCATTCCACAGAGTAGAGTCGAGCTGGGCGAGCCAGTCCAAACACATTCTGGGACACAGGAGGAGGTAAGGGAGGGAGCGGAAACCTTACCGGGACGCACCGGATTGGGGGAGGACCAGCTCAGAAAACAGCAGGGGAAAAACGAGACGCGTGAGAGTGAAAGTTTGAGGGGAAAACCGCGAGCGTAAGACACGGAGGAAACGAGGGCCTTTCTGAACCACGAGGAGACTAGCAGTTAATCTGTCTCCGTTCCAACTCAATAAACGTAGTCAGAGGGAGTGTGAGGTTAGGAGGACAGTACAGAGAAATAGAAATAAGTTCATTCAAGGCATTTTTCTCAAAGTGGGTTTAAGGGTTACATAAATTCCAAGTGGAAAAGCTTAAATTGGACATTTATGTTAAGTCTGCAAGGTTCAGCAGAGTTGAAAACGTTGACTGCTCAAAAAAATGTGCCTATCCAAGATAAAAAAAAATATCACACATAAAAGACTTTAAGTTCGTCATTACCATAACTGACCCACAAGAGGGCAAGACTCCCAATATAAGTAGACTAACAAACTTCTTATGAGAGTTGAAAGTAATATTTTATAAAAGAACATTGACTAATAATAATTGTCCAAAGAAAAGGGTTTAAAGTAGAATGGAACAAGATAGGCTTGATATTTTGGATGGGTGGTAATTAGCAGTTAAACTAAAAAGTGCATGTGCGTTCATGAGACTCTGCATTATTTAGGGCCTAATATAGTCTGTGAAAACACTCAAAACAGATGCGGGCGGGGTTGTGTGTAAACTACACTGGACGTTTGCATACACTGACATGTTTTATGTGTTTCTTGGTGTCACGGGGATACATTTCAGGCTGCACGTGGCCCTTTGCCACATGGGCAAATTATCCAAAATCCTTTACCACTCTGTGGGCAGAATAAGTATGATTTGCTCTCAGGACACTCCTTTTTTTCTGAAAATGATCTGAAACAAATCAAGTTGCTTTTTGTTATAAGTAAGAGTTTGTTAAAACTCAGAGCAATTACTGTAGTTTAGACATGGGAAAATGCCACATATAGTTGTAGGCTGGTTGTGTTTCTCTCCATAAGAGGAATACCTTCATCTGGGCTGGACTTGCTGGACAGCGGTTCTGAAGGATTGTGACCACCGGCCTCCTGGACCGAGTCACATGGGGCTGGGCTCAAAACCGTTTCTGCAAGTGATGCAGTCCCCATCCTCCCATAGACTGAGCCAGGATGCTATATACATGCACACATACATAAAAGACTCATTTAATAAACAGAAAAGTCAAAGTGAACTCAAAATAATGCAGCACATAGTGTATTACTGGGCCAACCTTGACATGTCCATTGAGAGTGCAGGGGCCCTTGTTGCAGTCAGGGACCCCGTTGGGCTGTTTATCTATGGGAGCGAGGCCAGGCGGAGGGGACGGTGTACTCTGTGTGTAACCCTGAACACTTGACAGCAGGATGCTACTCAATGTGGCCTGGGCGGCGGGGTGCAGCATCAGCTGAGATGAGAAGCCTGAAAACATAAGTGGTGAAGAACGTAGCATTAACAATTTTAAACTTTTAGTAGCTCATAAGGGATACGTGTACAACTTTCCTTGAGATCTGTAGGTTTCTGTCTATTTGTCAATCCATCTACCTATTTATACAAAACCGTAGAATATAAAACACTCGGGGCGAATAAACAAAAGGATTAAGCACCTTTTGCAGCCGCTAAACCTGTGCAAATAAGACTGGGGGTGCTTTCAGAATTACACAAAGGGTAAAATTCACTCCTAAGTGCACTGCCAAGCAAATAGTGTCTAAATGCTCCTGTGCCATTTGCACATATTTAAATGAGGTGATATAGATTTGGCTCAAAATCGGCCACTTTCTCAGCAAATGAGCCTCATCGCAACAATAATAATTTTTACTTTGCCACATGGATAATTGCAATCAGATGCAGAAATTGCACTCATCTATAAAACTTTATAGCCTCAGTTTAACTGAAATATCATTAGCGCAATATCGTTTGTGAATCGTTGCAAATGATGCGCAACTGTTGGTGCAATCAGCGGCCGGAATCCCTTCTGTGTGAAGTCACCCCTCAGTCCGGTACTTCAAGTAAGATGTATTCAAGCACATGGGCAAAAATTATTATTATGAAGGCTTTTTCTTTTCTTGAAACATGCATATGTTGACTGGGATATTAGAGAACCACATGCCAGTACAAAAAAATACATTGGCCAATAAACAAACCTTGGGTGCTGGTGAGTGAGCTGGGCCAGAGGGACGCGGTGGGTGTGGGGGTGCTAGGGCTCGGGGTCTGCAGAGGGCTCATGGAGGAATTTAAGCTGTTGAGGACAGCGTTTGGTGCAGCAGAGTTGGAGAGGCAGTGGGCCGCCGTCGCTCCCAGGAAACCTGAGCAGAACAGAAAGGAAGGAACAGGAGATGAATAGATCAGCGGTGGTCCTGTCAAAGCACCGAGACATTTCTCAAGCTAATCACACGTTGCACTACGGCCTTCAAAAAAATAATCTTGGTCTCCCAGCTATTCAACTGGTATTCCCTCAAACTGTCATCAACCAGACAGCAAACAAGAGGAAGAATTTCTTAAATTTCTACAAGGTCATGGATGCTAAAGTACATATCTCGTATGTCCTCATACCCAATAAACCCATGTTATTGAGAGCACCAACAATGTGGTGCTTGGCGTCTTAAACCAAACGCAGTGTATGAAAACAGAAAGAAGCAGGTCTGTGGCTTTAACAAGGGGCTAGTTTGGCTCCAGGAATAAGGCCCAGTCTTCTTCTGGCAGACTGGTCTGTAATCTGAGGAAGAGAAGCATGTAGCAATTACTAAATGCCAGGATGTGGCCGTCCACAGCTTCATCCCCGGGCCCTGGGTTTAAAACGAGACAGCGAGAAAGTTTCTACTGCACCGGAACTTTATGGCACATTGTTTTTTGGTGTGACCATTTTTTTTCTGGGAACAGAAGGACATAAAATAAAATGCAATTTGAAAAGTTATCTAATCAAAATCAGACAAAAAGGTAAAAAAAAACAACAACTCACATGCTCCTTATAACCCCATGGTCGCAGATATTAAATAAACATATTATGGATATTATTAAACTATTGTCATAATACTCTTCTCTCAAACATGCGAGGGAATTTTCAAAGTAATATAATGTAGATGTGCTGGGGTCAGCGTTTGATGATAAAGATGCACCAAACAAAACAAATCTATTGCTGGCGTGTGCTTACAGCCATGAGCTGCTTCCTGTCAGCTTATTCCACTATCTGCTTTTCCTATATCCACTGATGCATTACTCATGTCCTCATTTCCCTGTTCTCAAAGTCCAATATAATCATATGACAGCAAAAAAACATAACTGGAGTTAGATATTAATCCTATAATACAACTCAAAACAACAACAAAATCGTACTAAAATCCATTTAAAAGTCACCCTTGGAAACAAAAAAACCCTCTTTCAGGCTGAACTCCGTGCCTTAATGTTGAGGTCAGCACTGCAGACAAAAACTCCTACGCCAGTTATAACCGTTCATCATCCTATGATTCATAAACTCACAACTCATTCAAAGTGGCACAACTAAATTTGAAATTGATGTTATTTTCTGATGGTTGGCTGAGATTTGTACATGCGGGACTCATTTCTTGGAATGATAGTCATACCATCACGGTGAGGTCAGTCCTGCGGAAAAACAACTCCTCCTGTAAAGCGCATACAGATGATGCTGCCATGACTCACTGGCTGTGATTTATGTGGATGCTGAGGAGATCTTTGTATCTGATTTAGAAAAAAATCACTTGCACTCAGGGATTCAGTTAATCAGGTGAAAACAGGCTTTGAGGAGATCTGGCTGAGAGATAGCTTCCATGGATGTGTTGCTAGGGGAGAATTCTCTCCGTGTGCGACTGGTACAGATGCGAATGATGTTGATGTATGAGGGCATTAGCTCCTCTGCAAAGACATTTCATCTTCAATGTATTTGCTGCAAGGAAGAAGAGGGTCACTACTTATCTTTCCACACCAGTTTGTCTTTCCCCCCGCAACGTGGAAAAAGTTTGTACATGCTTAACAAGTTGGACAGTGTCATACCCAGATTGCTCAGCCCCAGGCCAGCTGAGGCCAGGATGTCCAGGCCAACGGGGCAGATGAGGGACGGGGACGAGATGTTGGTGGCGGGATTCAACGCCACAGAGGGCGAGGAGGACGACACCCCGTTGCTCTCCAGACCCAAGAGGAATTTCCGGGCTTCGTACATGTTCACTGCATTCCTCTCCACGCTCTTGACTATCACGGACTGAGAGGTGATGGAGTAAAGGAAAGACAGGTGGGGTGGACAAGGAGGTAAGAGGAAAATGGGAAGGAGAGAGGCAAAAGAGACGGGAGGGGAAAGGCGTGAGAGAGAGACAGAAGAGGAAAGGCAGAGGAGGAGGCGAGGGATAGGGAATGTTGGCACCAGAGATGGGGAGTGAAAGGGAGGATGAGGGGGAGACAAACATAAAGGGGAGGAAGGAAGAGGGAATTAGGATAGATTGGAAGGATAAACATTTAGGCAGTGTGGGAGAGAGATGGAGACAAGCATTTTTTTATCAATTACATAACATACACTATCTCGCTCATTGATAGCATTGAAGACAATATGAGGCAATGCCTGTAACTCAATAACTATTACACTACGAGGCACTAAATCAACAACAGAGAATTATAAACAGGAAATATTTTAAATCAATTAGAGAAATGACTTCTACATTTCCCACATCACCAGAAACGCTGCCCTTAATAAACATGAAATAAAAACAGTAAGTGAGCACAAATCATGTCCTGGCTCTTTGCGTTTTGCCAGAGTTGAGCTTTTGAAAAATAGATTCCAATCATGATCAGTCTCTCCGACATACACACGCACTCTTTTATCGGTCTGCCAAAGTGCCGGGAGCACCGAGACTACGACATGCATTTGGACGGGCCTTTTTGGATTACAGCTGTCACCTCGTTAAAATGTTTAAGTGAAGGGTTCTTAAGAGGATCTGGGCTGGGGCAGTGTTTACACTGGCACCTCAACATCAGTCCCCACAGGCCTGTCGGGTTTGGGCACCGAGCCCTGGCTCGGGATGGGACGTGGGCACCTCGAAGAGACAGGCAGGACCGGGCCAAGTGTTGAAATATGATTGGGAATAGTACAAAAAAACAGCAGAAAAACAGTAGACCATGAGTAACATCAGAGCTTGGCGTTGGATATAAAACAGGCGCACCACAGTCGCTGTAAGAGTTTGTAAATCACAATATAATATGGAAATGATCAACGTATTTCACTAATTCAATTCAATTTAACAAGAGAATAAGCGTACCTCCAATTTACTAAGAATACAAGGCAGTTATTTTTTAGATGGAATAGCTGAGCGGCATAATAGACAGATTGAGTCCATCAGGTGAAACATGCACAGCAGGCTGTGATTCCCCACGGTGACTGACGTAGATTTATGCCAGAACTCTTCTCAGTGTTCTCTTCCCAGTTTTTCCTTTTAAATTTCATCAAATAGCAATGAAATGTGACATGGAGATCTATAATTGACTTTAATGTCATGCTGTGACATTTGACGGAGAGTAATTCTCCAATGGAACAGTGGCTTATTTGTTTGTTGGTAGTCCTTTTCTCTCTCTCTGCCTGGCACAGCATATGAACAAGTGGGACAGCAGTTTGTTTTTCTCACGGTGAAAAGTTAGAATATGTTTACTTCTAAAGTTTAAAGGTTTGTTAGAGCTGAGCAATTTCATTAATCGTTCGATAACATTATGCCTTAAAATAGATGTTAATGCTACCAATTACAGATGTCAGTTCCAAGTGCGAAATGTAAATAGGGCAGTGCATCCAAATCATTTATTTTATACACTACAGTGACCTGATGTCCAAATTTGTCTGGTATTGTACTCATTTCCAACTGGGTTTCCCAAATCCCTACAAACATCTGTGAAACACTCAAATGTTCCGGTTTTCAACAGTCACTCCCAAATTGTTCCAGTTTTCACTACAATAATAATGTTATACTTGTTTTCAGCGCTTACACAGTTTATCATGCTCTTTCAGACTCACTATTAAAGAACTTGACAGAACCCATCAGTACGCTAACGGTTAGCTGTCATGCCCGAAGAGAAAGTCTGTTTTCTCGGAAGAGTTCCAGGAGGCTCATTCCTTCGTGAAGTATACCTGGCAAAGAAAATGCTGAGTTCTGCACAATGCTGACATAAAAGATGATATTAAGATGGCCAGATAACAGTGTACAATAGCACGCATATTGTGTGTGCATAAGCGCATACATGTGCACATGTATGCGGTACACTTAAGGGTCCCAGTTTTGGGGTTTGCTCAGTAAATGTGGTCCTGTACACACTGTTTATCTGATTAAGAAACCACCTTATATTAGAGGATGTTTTAACTTAAAGACCAAGTCTGCATCCATGCTAGCTCCTCTGTGAGGCTTTGAGCTACATGCTAACATCATTGCTGGTATAATAATTTGCACTACATACAAAGTACAGTAGAGGTTGATGGGCATTGGTCATTAGTTTTTCCAGGTATCTCTTGTATTTATGCATTTTAAAAGCCCATCTACAAACAGGCATGTTAAACTAGCTTAGGTTGTAAATGCTGTTGTATGTGGCATTGTTGCAATATTATTGTCCCTAAAGAAAAAACAAATATTTGACATATTCAAATTTCGAACTGATACGGATGCTACATTACAAGTCGAGGGGATGTTAATGAAATGCATCCTCAGGGCAGCATGAATGTCTGTTCGAAATGTAAACCGCAATCCATCTTTTAATTGTTATTTCCGTCTATTATCAAAGTGATTGTCCAACCTCACCATCCCTAGAGCCCTACTGCTACCATGGCTGGAAATCCACTGAAACTCTTGGTGCTGTGTGATTGTAAGCCTAGTGTCATACCTTGCTGGGTTGTTTTGGCTTCGGTTTGATACTGATGAAGACATCCAGCTGCTCCATTAGTGCTGTGATACACTGGGGCTCCACCTCAATGTCCTCTTTAATGTCAAACATTAACACCAGAGGCAAGCAGCCCTGTGGAGCAAACACAAAATTAAAAAGTACATCAGCAACATACTCTTGTTTTATCATGTCAGCTGCAGACTAATATCTCTCAGAGCCTGGCTAGTACAGTGTAACACAACCATGTTCCTATATTATAGGCTATTTCAGTAGTAAATTTCCCTTTATACTATATTATTTGTAGACCAACATGTTAGGCATGCCAATGAATACAAGATTCACTGCTAGATTTCTCCCACACAGAGCTTGGGAAATTCCGCAAAGAGCAATCTGTTTTGCATGATTTCCACCACAAGCACCACAGACATCTATATTTTGGGCTGAGTGCTGGACAGCGCTCCTATTGTGAGTGGGTGTAATTAGCAGCACAGTATAGAGGCCTGGCTGGCTCCGACAGGGCCTGAGATTGGAGCTGTAATCTACAGTCTGGCTGGAAGAGGACAAATCACACAGTACACAACCGACTCCTCTCTCTCCTCTGCTTGTACGTCCTGCTCTGCTCCTCTTCGCCTTCTCTTGTTTCTCAACCACCTCTCCCCATCGTCTGCTTTCTATGCTTCTCCACACATGAATCAACTGTTTTTATGGCCTCACTGCAAACAGACAGCGAGAGGCTACCTCTTGTGCGTCCAGACCAAGAGAAAGTCATGTTTAGCCACTGCAACAACTTTGGCATTTGCTAAATGTCTTTGGGGCCAAATGGGAGACCGCAGACAAAGAAGGCTCTGGCAGAATTACTGCCCCGCATTATGGATCTCCAAACAGAGAGCTGAAGCCGTTTACGGGCCGAGATGTCTCATATGCACCAGCTCAGCAGAAGCCTTTAGCCAACGGTAATTAAACAGCCACCACTTTTACACATTTTTGAAACAAACATCTGATTATGTTCCTGAGTAATTCAGATCAGGGTAGCCTCAGTGGTTACAGGCAACAAGACAAGAATGACCACAGAGCATTTTTAAATTTAAATGTGAGGCGCTTCCTCCTGGTCCAAAAGACGGTAATGTGCTGACCTCTGAATTACAGTCTGGGCTGATGTTTAAATCCACCAAAATCGACTGTATACGCAAACCAGATCATTACCTTTACACCAAGAAGGATAATCTGTATACAGTCAGGACTCAAGCCAAGCGGATGCTAATGGGTACGCACACATTATCATCTCACATGCAGGTATGTGGCTATCAGTCACGCAGGCTAACCTTGAGTCGGCTACAGATTGTTGTATAAATGGACGTTTCAGCAGCAGGAGCAGAGCCAAGCAAATCTATCCCAAGGCTATACAAAACCCAAAAGGCAATCATGGTTTACTTCTTAAACCCCATCTCAAAACCCAAAATCATTCAAACATCCCATATGATGTTAGTGAAACAATGACATCCATTAAAGTTACCACACAGCCTGTGGTATCTATATATGTAAAGAATCTATTGCCAATGCCATCCCTTAACCCCCAAAACAAAGCTTAGCAGTTAAAAGTATTTATTTTCAACCAGCGCATGTCAAATGTACACACCATGAGGTACTGCCGTGCCAGGCAGACCGATTCAATGGTGCCCTGAATGTAGACTGTGGATTTCTTTTGGGGGCTGTTGGGGTCAGGGAAGTGGATCTGGGCTCCCGTTCGCTGGGTGATGTGCTTGATGTTGCTGCCATTGCGGCCCTTCATAAAGAGGTGGTGCTGGGGTGCGATGTCCAGGTGTGTGGTGACGGAGATGGTGCTTGCCAGGCTACCAGCCAAATGCTCCAACAGCAGAGCTGTGCCCCTCTGTGGACACAAGGATGAGAAGGTAATGCAACAGGTAATATGACAAATTATATAAATATATAAAGAAAAATACACGTTTAATTTATAAGAGTCTACATTCAGTGAGAGACTCTATGAAACTATGCCAAGTCATCAAGGTATAGGGCTGCAACTAACCACTATTTTCATTGTAGATTAATCTGTCGATTATTTTTATGGTTAAATGATTAGTTGTTTGGTCTCTAAAATGTCATCAGTGCTTCCCAAAGTCCAAGATGACCTTCTCAAATGTCTTGTTTTGTTCACAACTCAAAATATACTCAGTATATCAACCATGCTATCAGAGTTTCGTTTTTTTTTTTTTTGTTAAATCGTTTAGTCTATGTCTTAAAATTGCTTATATTGCTCAACCAACAGTCCAAAACCCCCAAATATTCAATTTGTAATGATATAAAACAGAGAAAAGCAGCAACTCCACACAGTTGAGAGGCGATAACAAGCAGATGTTTTTCATCTGTGCTTGATAGATAAATAATTCAAACCATTAATCTAGTATCATTGCTGTAGATACATCTTTTGTCAATTGCCTAATGTATTAATCAACTTATCTTTTGGACAGAAATGTCAACATTACTTTTGTTTAAGCAGTGTACAGTATAATAGTGAGGGTAAATATAAAATAAAAGTTTTCCAACTTATAATGGACACATGATAATTGTAGGAGAAGATGCCCCATGAGTGTAAAAATCTATCCACAATAAAATAAAATAGTATAATGGACAATTTACTGACTTCTCGCAAAAACATCAAACAGTAAAAATTGAATCTCATAAAGATGTGACAAAAAAGCTGGAACAATATTTAATTTAGATCAACAGCCAGACCACAATCATCCATTAACGAGGGGAGCAGTGGAGCCATTTTGCGTATTTCCCACAGAAAACACCAGTTTTTTTCTTCATAATCAATGGAAACTATTATATTTTCCACTGCATCTGCCGGCCTGTTGAACAGCCTCATTCCTTTCCGGCTCTGCAAACCATCACATGGCCCAATAAAGTAAGTCATTTCCAGTGTGCAACGAGAATCCACACACTGCGGCCAGCATAATACAACAATCCACAGCGGTTTTGGCAATCCTCGAAGGTGCTCCTAGTGTCTCACACCACCACATAACATAGCACACATATTCCTCTAATCCTCTAGCCTTCATCTGGCATACTTCCCAATCCCGACTGACCCCTCAGACCTACCACACTCAGGGGCCGTGCTCCTGCATGCATGCATGCATACATACATGTGCACATATAAACTGTACACACAACACGGTGCACAAATGCACACTAGCATGCAAATCCAAATAAAAGTGCACAAGCATACATGAATAAATAAATGCAGGGATGAATATATGCCAAATGCAGTCGCTGGCAAACCGAACAGAGCTCCATATTGTTAACAGAGGCTCTATAGTGGAAAGAAGTGAGTTGGTAGATATGACTTGGCAGAGATGATGAACGGAGTCCTTGGCAGACTTTGATTAGCCACAACTCAGATGCCATTTGAGGAAGTGCATCTGTGTGCGTACATAAAATATACAGTATGTTTACGCCTAAACAAGCTGCAGAGTGGAAACACAGTGAGAAACTATTTGAAATAAAACTCAAGAGAGGCTTGTGGACTTGCCAGAGTCTCCCTCCTACTGGAGAGCTTAACCAGCAGCTGTCCAGTTCAAGTGACCAAATATCTCTCAGCACTCTGCTGCCCCTGTGGTGCTGAAAGTAATGAGGCACTTAAAACGACAAAAGTGAGGAACGCTGACAGTGCCGGTGGGTCTTGACGTGGCGCAACTCTGGAAACCTTTTCTTGGTCTGCGGCTCGCCATGTAAACGGGTGGAGAAGAATGAGGGTATTAACTCAAATATTGTTACACTGAAATGACTGACAAGGAGTTCAGGGTTTGGTTAGTTATTCAAGCAACTGTAACAGGACACACGCTGGATGTGGGGGGAGTTGAAACTTTATGATTTGGTCTCTTTGCAATTTCGCTCCAATTTAAAAAAGGGAAAATACAAACTCAACAGAATTTATATTGTTGCCGTTGGTCAATTAGTACTGAAGCTGTTGGCTTATATGAAACCTAATTTAGCACTGAAACAATTAGTCAACTGACAATTTTGACTTGATTAATTCATCGTTTAAGTCACTTATCAAGCAAACCTGCAGATTCCAGCTGCTAAAATATGATTTGCTGCTTTTCTCTATTTCATGCGTTTGTAAATGGAACGTCTTTGGATTTTGGGCACTGATCAGTCACTCAACGATCCATTATTCTCCTCAAAATGAAGAGACCCTCCTCACCTTGACGGCGTTGGCGTTATTCTGAGAGCCGCGAACCACGCCGGTAGCCCTGTAGAGGCGAGTCGGGGGCTTGAAGGAGACTGTGAGGCTGTAGGTCTGCGAGATGTGCTGCACAGTGGGGGAGCTGGGGTCAGACTGCATGATGGCGGGAAGCTCGAAAGACAGCACAAGGGGGAGCAGCTCCTGCAATATGGTGGGACGGAAGGGGAGAGGAGGGAACAGAAAGTGAAATGACAGAGAGAAAACCCCCACCATGCTGAAATACTGCAGTTATGACAAGTTGGATAGCTTATCATTATGCTGCTGCCAGAAAAACGGGGAAATAAAACATTCCTGAACAAAATCATAAATAGGCACTGTATAGCGGCTTGTGCTGTCATTCAGATTGATGAAGGCCATTTGGACAAAAACACAGTAAAAGGGTGATTTCTTTACACACTGTAGAATTATGTGAACTGACACACAGACATAACAGTCCGTTGAGCAGAAGGTGGCAAAACTTCACCTGTCGGCTTAAATAAATCCAGACAAGTTCATCAAAATGAGGTCAGCAGTGCCAGCAATAAGAGAGGCACCCTTTGTTACTTGAAGTATGCTACAGTTTTAAACATTATGGCTGCAGTCGATTACAAATCACACAAAAGCACCACTTTAAATCTTGTGTTTACGAGAGATGTGCTCATACGTTTCTTGGAAATGAGACATCCAGCATGAAAAAAGCGAGAAAGAAATCTTAGTCGACTAAGACCAAAACAACTGATTAGTTGACTAAGAAGGGGCAGCCCTAGTCTATGGCCTGCTCATTCACATACATTCATTTCAAATCATTGAATCAAACCACAGGGGCAGCCACAGACGTCAGCTCTTGTCATTTGTATCACAACCAGTCACTGAAACAAAAGAGATGCAGACAGGAAGGCTTCATGCATACACATACTTATGCATGCATGGGAGAGAAATCACGAAGGCACACACCCATACACACACAAAGACGAGAATGAATACACACACACAGTGTTATCCAAACACTGAGTCTTGGGCAGAGTGCCACTATGGTTTTGGCTGCCAGTGAAGGGCAAGCAGCATGAATTGCTCTGACCAAAGAAATGCTTCCCTGATCAGTCCCATATGCGCTTGGCCTTACATGAATATCACGTTTCAGCACTCGCTCTCAGAGGGCTTGAGAAATGTAGGTCAGCACTGAGGGAAACGCAAGAGTGGACAAACAGAGCAGCAGGAGTCAGGCGCTGAATGAAGAATAGACTGATTTTTATGGTGGAGCTGACCTCAGCTTTATTAAAAAAAAAAAAAAAAAGGAAAGAAAAAAAAAGTCCCACCTGGCAGATATGAGTTTCACATGAATTCAAACTGAAAGCACTGTTAAAAAGCCTCAGTTCTCCTGACATAAGGGTGAGCGATGAAGAAAAATGAAAATATCTCCGAGGTACAGCATCTGGCCAGACCTTTCATCACCTGCCTGTCAGCTCCACCTCGGAAAAGTCCAAGAAATCCCTCGAGAGTCCATCACCTCAACAACCGACTTGTTTCAGACTCAAACAAATCTCCACCCAAGAGAGCCTCAGAAATACAGTAGACCTTACACTGTAGTACATTAAAGGGACATTTCATTCACTGCTAATGCATCTCAGGGAGAAGGCACAACCTCAGCCACTTCTGGTTCCAGGAGAGAAGGGGGAGGATGTGGTCGAAAGGCCACCCAGAACCAAAAACACAGCAATATTGTTATGCACTGGCGACCTCAACAGTAGGGGGTCAATAACTGGAATAAACCCTCCTGCATTTTACAATGTGGTGTTTTAATATCATGACAATACCAAATATCCCCCTCGCATTCCTCTTTTCATAAACAGATTTAAAGGAATAGTTTGAGATTTTGGGAAAGTTTTAAAATTTCTTGTAGAGTGTTGTATGAGAGGATCGATACCACTCTTATGTTGGTCAGTTCAATATGAAACTGGAGTCAGGAGACAATTAGCTTAAATTAAAACAACAACTTGTCTTTTTACACTCCTAAATTAAATCAACAAGATATAACATGACAATTAGTCAGCTTTGCTGGTGCTGGCAGTTTTCTTTTACCTTTAGACAGATTCCAGTCTAGCTGTCTCGTCTTTATGCAAAGCTAAGCTAAGCTAGGCTAAATTAAGCTCAGAATCTCCTTACTCCGGCTTCATATTAAATGGACAAAAATGAGATTGGTATCAATCTTCTCATCTAACTCTCAGTAAGACAGTAAACAAGTGTATATCCCAAAAGTTCAAACTATTCCTTTAAAGCAAAGCTGGTGCATAATTACACACCTCCTATTTGAAAATAATGGCACTTTGGCTAATAAGGTGATTGCTAACATTTACAAAGAATCCCTTCACTTAAAGTCACAAGTTAGTATGTATGTGTTGAGCAATTACTGTGCATATCTGTTATTTGTAAAGAAATATGTTGACAATTTGTATTCCGGCAGTTGTCAGTACTGATAAAGTGAACAAAGGGAAACCAATTACATGAAAAGAAAATCTCTCAAATGTGCTACTTTTCCTTGCTGCATTTGAGGAAATTGCGTCCACGTTCAGTGATGTGGCTCCAACATAATTAAAACTATGTGTGGAAGGGCTGTCTAGTCGTGACTATTGACTGTTGAATAGAACTGCGTAGAAGGTTTTTTGGGTCTCATAGGATCAGAAGAAGCCAAGTTGACAGAGAGGGAAACCTGTCTTTTGATCCTCCCTCGTCATCTGCTGACTGTGTGTTCTTTGGAGGCCAGAACAATCTCTGTGGTTCTCTACAGTTTATATTTTAAACCTCTTTCTAGAACCTTGTTACGGTTAGGTTTGATTATCCTTTTTTTTTTTTTTCACCCATAGCAAAACAAGTAGGTGATCTGGGTTGCGGCTGGCTGCTTATGAAAATAACCACTAAGCACGGAGAGGTATGTGTATGCGTACATGCAGACATTTGCCAATACACACTGCACAAATATGTCCAGCATGACCTTCTCCCGCCTCCCTCTCCATCACACACACTTCACTTCACTTGTTAGTTTTTGGTCAGTCCATAGTGGAGGAACGTGTTCGCTGTAGACAATTGCTGCGGTGTTGAAATGCAGCAAAAGTTCAGGGATGTAACACTTCACACGAGCACAGAGGTCCGAAGCCCGCAAAGCTGAGGCTGGAGGTCGGGCTTTCCAGTCAGACTTAAACTGTGGTTGAAGAAGAGGCTAGGAAACGGGCTGGAGATGGGCCTACAAATTGTTCAAGGAAAGTGGTCTAGGTTAGGAATGGTGCTTGTGGCTTAGAGGAAGCACTGAAACTGTGCCTGGAGTCCACAATTTCCTACTGCAACCCTGGAGCTCCCATTGGTAGGGTTAGATAGAGAACTTGGCTTCCTTGAGTCTGATGTTTTGCTTGTGGAGGAAGTAACTGTTTTGAGCATTGCAATTGGGAGCAAATAAGTAAACTACAACAGGATGTCAGACTGCGATGGATGTAGAGCAGTGGTTTAGCCTGCCATTGGCTGTGTATCTCACGCTACACTCTTCTCCGCTATCTGCACTATCCATTTCACAAGGGCACGGTCACTGCATCTTGTGCTTAGCGCCGCCCAAGACGGTTGTGATTGGTTTAAAGAAATTCAAACAAGCCAGAGCGTTTTCCCCTTATACCAGAATGACAATGTGTGCAGCCAGACCTTTCTTTAGCACTGAAACAGCGCTGTGGAGATGGGTCTGGCTATGCAAGACTAGAGGGGGTTAGTCAGGCTAGCTAATGATTGAGCACAGATAGAGTGGTTCAATGTAAGAGCAGGAGACGGGCACTCCGAAACAGCAGTCCACAATTTGCCGGGGGAGTGTGGCCAAAAGAAGGGGGAAGAGGAAATAATGTAGGTAGAGTGTAAATACAAACAACAGGAGCATCCACGGCTAGCAGGCTATGAAGGATTCCTACTTACCCTTATTTTTACCCGAGCTGCCTCCACCCCTCCTGGTTGCCCTGCGATGGACACCTGTTGTTCACAATAAAAAGTAACATATGTAAATCAGCTAGCCAGTTCAAACCCATTCCAAGACATATAATGGCTCAGATCATTGCATACAGTTGCACTTCATTTCAATGTCGAAAGGAAAATCCAGAAGAAACAATGAAAACAGCTAAAGTTTAAAGGCTTCCTCTAAACTAAAACCGAATCCCTTTTTGTAGCATATTTCCAGTTAACGTGTTGTATTCTTGAACCACGTCATTACAGTTGCAATAAATCTAACATTGTGATTAAAAAAAAACAGCCTCCACAATTGAAGTGACTGTTTTTATTTTTATCACAACCACCAAGATGAGAGGACAGATTAAAAGGAGCAGCATGTAGGATTTATTGGCATCTAGCGGTGAGGTTGCAGATTGCATCCAACAGAACATCCGCTCACCCCTCCATTTCCAAGCGTGTCGAAGAAGTACGATAGCTTTCAGAGAACGTAAACCCTTGAATGGCTCTCTCTAGTCTAGAGCCAGTGTTTGGCTTGTTCGTTCTGGGCACACCCATTTCTTTAAATTACGATATTTTAAAAAGTGAAAAATAATCTCATTAGATTTCTTTCTTATTATTTTCCCTCCTTCAAAGGCAACTGCTCACACTTGTAGAGATAAGAAAAAGGTGATATTAAAAATGATTAATCAAACATAAAGCCGGTCAGTCTGGTTCATCTCTGGCCTCCAGTACTTCCACATGAACAAAACACATACATATGCACACAAGCGGCTGGGTAGTGCCGTGAGCAGCAAATCATTTTTCTCCAAATGAAAACCATTGTTAAGCCTCATGTTGTGCTTGAACAGCTCCAGTGAGAAGGGAAGGTACGAAGCCACTGCATGGATTGTCCTGGTTATCTATATTTACTCATCAACACCACTGCACTTCAATATGCTCTGTAGCTAAAAGAAAAATTGCTCTGCTGCAGCCAGTAAGCTTTTGAAACCAGAAAAAGAGACAGCTTAAGGGGTCTTGGGACTGAAAAGGAGTCTCTTGCTACTTATCAGTGTGTACTTGCATCATGAGAGTAGGACTGGAGGGAGTTTAACAGTCTATGAGGTACAACTGGAGGGAGTTTAACAGTCTATGAGGTACAGAGTACTGGCAGGTTCAATGGTCTATTGCACACACTGCAGGCACAACTTACGATGCAAAATCCACAGAGATTAGTTGAAATCAGTGAAGTAGACCTTTAAGAATAAATTGACAGAGCACCTGACAAGTTAATTTACTGGCTGCTCTGCTGAACTGCTCACACTACATTTTAATGGTAATTACAACCGGATCCTGCTGCTCCTCTACACCGGGTCCAGCCAAAACACGCCGGCTTCCTCTGGGCTGGCCAATCTAAACAGCCAGCTGAACCAACTCTCTGCAACCTGACCAGCCTCCGAGATCCTGTGGCAGTTAATGAATGGGCTGAAGGGCAGCATGCACAGATATAAAAAAAATTAAAAAAAACACTACTTGAGCTACTACAGAAGAAAGTAAATCGTGGAAGGGTGACAAACACTCCGGGAAGCCGAATGCAATATAGTTACACTAAAACATCAATCGTGCGATGTTGTGGTTCAAGAGATTAGAGTAAAATATTTGCTCCCTCCATCTATCTCTCATGCCTCAGTGAGAACAGTAGAGCACTGTATACATCTATGTAGTAGCCCCACACACCTGGTTGCTTTTCTCTGCCTGGTTGTTCCTGTTGGAGTCTGGGAAATGGATGTGGCAACCCGTCTCCTCCATCACCCTCTTGATGTTGTTGCCACCTTTGCCAATAACGTGAGAGTGCTCTGTGTGAGAGACGTCCATCTTCAGAGTTACCCTGTTACTCTAATGAGCAGGAAAAAAAGAGAGAGAGAGAGGGCTGCATTGAAATGATGATTGATAACTCTTGCAGTAGCTCAGTGAGTGGAGAAATGGGCATGCTATTATTCTTGTGTTTGAAAGGCACTTATTTCACCTAACAGTCACAATACCCAAAACTTACAATTTCCCCTCTTTTAAACACTTTCACATGTTGCAGTCATTTCAAAAAGAGGCAAACAAGCAACAAAACATGCAGCACATTAAAGAAACCAATCATATTATGAAATGACTCTGTCTGCCAGACTGAAATGGCCTTTTCGTGACAAAGCCATATTAGATGCTATAAACTAAGCCAATCATTGTTCGTTTGCGTTCGGCTGTTCAAAGTGCATGGATGATGGCCTGCCCCCAGGGGGTGCTACAGTGCAGTCGCCCAGGTACTTTATTTCTTGTGTTGCCATGGCAATAAAAGCCTGCATGCACACAAGATGCAACCCACTGCAAGGCTCCGGGATGAGAGTATCTGGAGAGATTAGTGCCAAGTTTGTACCACACTGCTGTGAGCAATCTGTCACTTGGCCAGCGGGAGAGCCGAGGTGAAATACATTCGGTTCAAACGGAACACCAAGAAAAAGGCGAGAAAGAGGAGACGGGGGAGATGATTACACACACACACACACACACACACACACACACACACACACACACACA